ACGAGGTTGATGGAGAGCCAGTTGTGTTTCAGTGGACGCCCGACTGAGCACAACGACATTTTCTGCGCTCCAACTGGGACTATTTTGACGTAGATACCACCTCACAGTTACCGTCTCTGAGGCTGCCGCTGGAACTGTTCGTGCCAGATTTCTTTCTGCATCTCTGGAAATTTTTTTCTCGCGTTGAAATTTATCAGAAGTCTGTCTCTAGGCGGAATTTGTTTTTCATCAAAATCCAACGGACTACGGAGTCGCTTTGCGCACAGATATCGGCCTAGGGAAACAAAATCCTTGACACTCAGGAAGATCTGGAGTCATTCAAGGCCTTCAATATTCTCAAAATGACTGAGTCGTTCCTACATGCATTTCCTACCGTTCATATTTTTTCTCTACATCGACTTTTTAAAAATAGGCACCTTTTCGACCATTTGGTTTTGAATGTTTGCCATACTCCATCCTATCCTGCCGTAATTACCAGTTTGAATGTCGAAAGCGAATATATACTTATGAACGCACGAAGTTAATGGACACAGAGCAACTTTTCGGTAGTTCCACGACCAGGACCGGCATTAGGTATGAAGGAAAGTCTATTGACATGGCCTTGCCTCCCAGGATTAGCGCTCGCTCTCTTTATAGTTGCAATCAGGGGCCCGCAAAGCGCGCTAAAAGCGCAATTACAGCAAAATCTGTTAGTTACGAGGACGAGCCGTGCACTGTGTGCTCCTTTATTCTGCTGAAAGTCCAAAAACTCGAAAAATAGATGGCTGCTTTAAGGGAACTCGTGCAAGCGAACGATGGTGGGCAAGGCGCGGTTAACAGCGCTTAAGTAAGCAAGACAACGGGGAAGAGAAAAACTTCGAAACAGCCAAAGAACAAGGTTTGTGTAAAACCTCAGTGCAAGGACGCCGATACTAATGACGATGGGATAATGGAAACGAAGTCTCCTGTTTCTGTGGAAGACAATGGAAGCGAACCATCAACTTCTGTCAGCCATTCCGCGTGTTCAGTAAAACCCTTGGTTGGAAATGAGGAAACAAGCTCGTGGCAAGGTGGAATGGGTAAGCACCACAACAGAAGTATAAAACCCCAGACGACTCCGGTGGATCTCTTGAGACCTTTAGCTGACAAGGCCGCCGGAAACAGAGCAAATGAACCCCTGGATCGTCAACAATGCGTAGTTTTCCAGGGCCTATTGGAGTCGAATGCTCCTACCCCGAAGGAGAAGATTTCCGCTGACCTCGGTATGCTTCAACACCTACTGAACAAGATGCTTAATTCAAACGAATAAGTAACCATTCGCACAGCCTTCAGGATCGGAAAGAAGGTGAGCGAACAATCGGAAACTGTGCGGCCACGACCCCTGAAAATTGTTTTGGGCAGTAAAGAGGAGGCTAGCTTACTTCTGTCCAGGAAAAGCTGCCTCCGAAACTCTTACAAGGAAGTTTTTTCAGCCAGACTATTCTCCAGCGGAACGTCTGAAACGCCGCGAAATTAGTGACGGAGCTGAAGAGGAGACCTGCATCAGGAGAGAGCAACTTGGCTATTTTCAGTGGACGAGTGATACGGAGGAATGCGATGTTGCTTTGGAACCAGCCAGTCATCATGATGACGGCAGCAACATAATATTGTCAAGCCCTAGACAAACCGAACGAAGTACTGTCGAATGTTGCAAACCTAAATTCTTTTACATCAATGTTCAAAGTTTGTTTTCCAAGCTTGAACTGAGAATACAAGTAGCCTATACTCCTCCCGATGTTATAGCAATAACAGATACGTGGTTGTCAGAGAACGTGCATGATTGCGAGCCAGTACTAACACGATACCAATTGTTTAGGAGAGATAGGAGAGGCCGCCGGGGTGGAGGAGTTGCCATGTATGTAAAGAGCAACCTAACAGTGTGTGAGAGTACCGACAAGATTTCTAACGACACATAGGCAATTAGGCTGACTAAAAAGGCACGGGAGTTTTGGTCCCTCGAAGTCGTAACTATCTACCGGTCCCTTCAGGCGGATCCAGACTCAGATAATTGTCTACTGGAAGGCATAAAAGAGATCTCCAGACGACCAGACGTTGTTCTCATGGAGGATTTTAATGCACTCTGCATTCAGTGGAGCGACATGCATGCGAAGTGCTCGAAGAATGCCTTCGATTACCGTCTACTAAAGACAACCCTAGAAGCTCTTCTCACGCAACGTGTCCTATCTCCAACTAGAGCACGTGGAAGGCAATAGGTTAGTTGTCTGGACCTCGTCTTCACCAAAGATCCTGACAGTATAGACGAGGTATACTACCTACCCCCGCTCGGTCGAAGTGATCATGCAGTACTTTTATGGGAGTAGGAGCTGCATTCTGAACCGTATATAAAAGAAGATACGAGGTCCAATATATGGAAAGGGGACTTTTGCCAAATGAAAGCTGAGGCATCACAAATAGACTGGGATGTTTTCTTCTCCGGAAACGTTAACAAGGACTGGAATTTATTCAAGGATCGGCTGCTGCATCTAATGAAGAGCCACTGTCCCGTATCAAAGCCTAGGACATCCAACCGCCCTCAGTGGTTATCCCGAGAACTCAAGAAGCAGATCAACAAGAAAGGAAGCTTGTGGAAGAAATTTCGCAAAAACAACAGCATTGCAGCGTTTACAGAATATAAAGTTCAAAGAAATAAGGTAAAAAACCTGATGATCAAGAGGCGACGGGATTTCGACAGTAATTTGCTTCATCGAGCCGTTAAAAATCCGAAATTGCTCTATAGCTATTTGCAGAAGAGCACACGTAACATAAATGCCGTTCCTGTCATGAGGAATGATGACGTTTTGGAGATATCGGACAGTAGAGATAAAGTTGAGCATTTTTCTCATTCTTTTCAATCCGTTTTCATTAGAGAAGCAGACTTTGTTCCAACTAGTTCCGAGAACATGGGAGATCCCACTATCAAAGATATCGTGTTTCGAGAAGCAACGATTTTTGAAGAAATAAAAAAACTTGAAGGAATGTAAATCTCCCTGTCCAGACGAAATCCCAGCAACGCTGCTTTTTGAGCTTGCCCGAGAGCTGGCCAAACCACTGTCCCTTCTGTGCCAGGAATAGTTTGGTGCTGGAATCCTTCCCACAGACTGGAAGACGGCCCACATTACACCCTTTTACAAAAGCGGCAGTCGTGCTCTTGTAGCGAACTACAGACCCATCAGTCTGACATCAATCTGCTGCAGTGATGGAGAAAACCATTTAAAAGGAGTTAATGGCTTATCTGGAAAGCCACAACCTCTTGTCCAATGCCCAATATGGTTTCCGTGGGGGAAGATCATGTGTAAAGAATTTGCATGTACAATGCAAAGTTGGACAAGAGCACTGGACGCAAAACACACTGTGCATGTGGCCTATGACAGTTCGACCATCGATTTCGATGATGTTCACCGTGTGCCCCACTGCAGGTTGGAGCAGGGACGGTGACTTGCTCAGGCGTTTATAGTGCCAGTAGACTTGCGCTCCATCTACCTACACCCTCTCCTCCTCCTCCCCCGCCTGAGCTCGGTGTCAAGACGGAGTCAAGAAGACCGGAGACGAGGGAGGCAGCAGGTGGATGGCTCGGACGGATCCTCACCTTGGCGTTCCACCACACCCCCTGGTCCACACAACAGTAACCAGGATTTCAACCAACAACAGACATTTGGAGGCTGGCACGGCCAAAACCGCACCTGGGCGTGCCACCAACGCCTGGCTCGGATCCCACACTGTGGTGGGAGTGCCATAAAGGCCACATTAAAAAGGATCCATTGCAGCCTGACTCTCTGACCGCCTCCAGTTAAGGAGGAGGACCAAGTTACCCCGTCAGTTGGCAACCTTTCAAGCCACGGCTTTTAGCGCACCGTGATAGCTTCAAGCGCGTCAGATTGATTATAGTGAGGAAAGTGCGCTGAGTCGTCGACCTCACTCTCCCTTCCCATTCCCACACCCCATCCGCCGTCCGAGTCGGTCGGCAAACTGGAGTGGCGAACGGGCGCGGTGGCTGCCACGGTCGACTGACCGTGACTGCGCGCGCCACAGCACGACCTGGCCCCCCATACACACACAAACACCGGGATTTCACACAACGGGGGTTGAACGGCGTGTGTCTCACTTGCGTGAGAGGGCCGTGGAAGGTGCTGCTTCAGCCCGTTCCCAGCCCACCAGTGCGCCACTCTCCACAGCACACACACACACACACAACGCGACGAACTGCGTGAACTGAGAGCGGGCGTCAATCAGTAACCTTCCTATCCACGACACTTGAAGTGTCGGGATAGTCTCGGACTCAAATCACCCGTGCAGCCGAAGCCGCATGGGGACCGAATCGAGATGCACACTTCCCACTTGCGTGGAAGGTGACAGTTGGTGCATGTGGTGGGTGAGTTTTGATGTGTGTTGGTGATGGTGGAGGACGGTAGGGGGTGTGTGGATGTGTGGTTTAACCGGCGGTTGTTTACAGCAGGCTGTCGTGGATGCGCGTGTGGCCGAATAGGCCCACGCGGTGCCTGAAAGTGCGAGGACAGTGTGGGCAGTTGAGACGAGCTTGGTGGGTGTAGGTTGGTGTTCCAGGCACTGGTTCTCCTGTCTGTGTGAGATTGATTCGCAAGTGACCTACCAGGCCGATGCGTGGGGTTAATGTGCGTGGACAGTGTGTGCATGTAAAGTCGGCGGTGTCAGAATCAGCTACAGAGGTGGCGTTGGTGGTGGCGCAGATGGACGGTGCGAGGGTGGTACTGGGCATGATGGGCGTGGTTGGTGTGCCGGAATTGTGGTCAATTCCGCTCTCGTGGATGCGCATGTGGCCGAATAGACCCATGCGATGCGTGAAGGTGCGAGGGCAGTGTGGGCAGTGGAGGCGAGTGCGGTGGGTGTAGGTTGGTGCTCCAGGCACTGGTTCGCCGGTCTCTGTGCGATGGATTCGCAAGTGACCGACCAGGCCGATACATGAGGTGAAGGTGCGATCGCAGTGAGGGCAGGTGTAGTCCTGATTCTCATTGCTGGAGTCGGGAGAGGCGGGGGTAGTGCCGGTTGTCGTGTCGCGGTTGGTGATGTGCGAGACGGCTTCCGAGCGGCCGCCGTTGGGGCAGTGGTGGTGAGGAGGACGAGGAGGAGGAGGAGGGGGAGGAGGAGGGGACGGCAGCCTGAACGGCCTCCGCTGGGGCAGTGGAGGAGAAGGAGGAGGATGGAAGTGGTGGTGCAGAAGGAGTGTCAGAGTTAGTTGGCAGAAGAGAGGGCAAGGAACAGGCGGGTTGTGGGATGATGGCTGGAGCAGTTCGAGAGGTGCAGTTGGTTCGAAGATGTCCAACAAGTCCGATTCGTGCCCGGAATGTCCGTTGACATCGAGAACACGTAGGGAGCGGTTGTGCGGCGGCGTTGCGTATTGGGCGAAGTTGTGATTTGCGGATTTCGCGTTTCACTTTGGCGGCGATGCGACTGGCTTCGTAAATAGCAGCGCCCGTCTTCACTGTTCGCCTCCATGTCGGACGATCGCGGGCGAGCTCTTCCCAGTTGGTCGGGTTGATTTGCAGGCGCTTCAGGGAGGACTTCAGAGTATCCTTGTAACGGCGAATTTGGCCTCCTTGACGACGAGAACCCGTCGCGACGTCTCCGTAGAAGAGTCGTTTGGGTAGTCGCTCGTCGTCCATGCGCACCAGGTGGCCGCTCCAGCGCAGCTGCATTTGTCTCAACATGGAGTAGATGCTGAGCATTCCCGTTCGTTCCAGCACATCAGTGTCGGGAATGCGATCTTGCCAGTTCAGCCGCAGGATGCGACGAAGACAGCTGAGGTGGAAGTGGTTCAGGCGGCTTGCCTGCCTCGTGTACACCGTCCAGGTCTCTGCTCCATACAGTAGCGTAGGCAGGATGACGGCCTTGTACATCTTCAGCTTCGTGTTCAGTTGAAGACCGTGACGATTCCAGACTGTGCTTTGAAGACGCTCGAAGGCTTGGCTGGCTTTCGAGATCCTGTTGGCGACTTCGTCATCAATCTTGGTGTTGCGGGAGAGAGTACTGCCCAGGTACGGGAAGTTCTCCACCACTTGAAGTTGGGTCCCATTCACGCTGATTTTCGGCGGCGCGTTGGGGGCTGTGGCTGAGTTGGGTGGCGGTTGGTGCATCACCACCGTCTTCTGCGTGTTGATGACCAGACCGAAGTTCTCGCAGGCGGCGGAAAACAGGTTCATGCTCCGTTGCATCTCCTCTTCTGAGGTGGTGTTCAGGGCGCAGTCGTCGGCGAAGAGAAGTTCGTGAACGGTGGTTGTGGATACGCGCGATTGGAAGTGCATCCGCCGTTGATTCAGGAGGTGACCGTCCGTCCTGTAGGCGATGCGGATCCCGGGGCGTTCGTCGCGGTAGGCGTCCATCAGCATGGCAGAGAACATCAGACTGAAGAGGTTTGGTGCCAGCACGCATCCCTGCTTCATTCCGTTAGTCACTGCGAATGCCTCTGAGACAGCTCCGTTGTCCGTGACTCGCGCCATCATACCGTCGTGCAGCTGACGCACCATCTGAGTGAATCGCTCCGGACAGCCGAATTTCTGCATGATCTTCCACAATCCTTCACGATTCACCGTGCCGAAGGCTTCCGTCAGATCCACGAAGGTAGAGTGCAGGTGGGTCCGCATCTCCTGACACTTCTCCTGAAGTTGGCGGGCGGCGAAGATCATATCCGTGGTCCCACGATGACGACGGAAACCGCATTGGCTTTCCGGCAGTAGACCTTGTTCGAGATGGTTATTGAGGCGGTTGAGAAGGATACGAGCGAAGATCTTCCCGGCGATGTTCAGCAGGGAGATGTCGCGGTGATTGTCGAAGATTTGGCGATTCCCTTTTCGCTTGTATAGTTGCAGGATTGTTGCGTCTTTGAAGTCTTGCGGGAATTCGCCTTGACGCCACATCTCCTGGAAGAGCGCAGTCAGGTGATCCATGAGTTGGGTACCTCCGTGCTTGTAGACCTCAGCAGGGATCGCGTCCGCGTAGCCTTGGATCTCCTCAGCTTTACGAGCAGTCCAGGCGTCCTGCATCTCGCGCAGTCGCTGCTGGAGGTGGCGGTGACTGCGGTAGAAAGCAACTTTGTTGTCGTCAGTGGGGTGATCTACGTAGGCTTTGTGTAGGCGGTTCTTCTCAGCAAGCTGATTTCTGATGGCGGCATCGTTGTCGTCGAACCAGTCCTGGTATTGGCGGGGAGCGCGACCAAGGACGGCGAGCGCCGTCGACTTGACCGTGTCTCGCCGTTGACACCAGCGGTTCTCCACGGAGGCGTTCTCGGCAGCGGCGGCATCGGCGATGGGGAGGTTGTCTAGCCGTTGAGCTAGCTCATTGCTGAAATGGAGATGGTGAGCGGGCAAAGACAACAAGGCAACATTCAGATTAACTGGGGGTCGCTTACCTTGTGGTCTCCTGCGAGGCTGTAGGCGAATACGCATCTCCGAGATGACGAGACGATGGTCGGTCCACCCGTCAGCACCCGCGATCGCCTTCGTCACCAGCACGTCCCGCTGGTCACGCCTTCGGACGAGGACAAAGTCCAACAGGTGCCACTGACGCGACCAAGGATGCCTCCAAGTGGCCTTCTCTCGCTCCGGCAGACAGAAGAACGTGCTCGTCAGGATAAGGCGGTGTCCTGCGCAGGTGCGGAGCAGCAGCAGACCATTGTCGTTTGAGCCGCGGAGACCGTGGGGACTCAGCACTCCTCTCCAGGCAGTATGGTCTGTGCCGACGCGGGAGTTGAAGTCGCCAAGGACAATCAACTTGTCCGCCTTCGACACAGTCGCCAAGAGGGCGTGCAGGTCCTCGTAGAATTTGTCTCTGACGGCGTCGGGGTTGGTCATCGTCGGAGCGTAGGCGATGATGATGGTGGCGAATTTGCCCCCACCCCGGAGATAGATAGATAGATAGATCAGGCGATCGTTGATGCCCTGCGGCAGACTGGGCAGTCGTCTTACGATGTCGTTCCGGATAGCGAAGGCGACACCCGCGTCTCGTCGCTTTGCCCTGGGTCGACCACTGCAGTAGAAGGTGTAACCGGCTTCCAACTCTTCCAGTTGGCCTTATTCGGAGAAACGGGTCTCGCTGAGTGCGGCGATGTCCACCTCGTGCCACTAACGCTGTCCTCCGTTCCAGTCGGTTGCTCCGCGGATTGTCTGGAGGGAACGAACATTCCAGGCTGCCAGAGTGAGCGGACTCACCCTGCCAGTCTGGTGACAACTAGTGGGGCGACGGGAGGGAGATGGAGGAGAAGATGACGAAGGTGAAGAATAGGCAGAGGAAGAGGTAGAATAGGTAGGATGGGGAGAATGAGTATGGTTGTTGTTGTTATTGGTATTGTTGTTGTTTTGATTTTGATTGTTTCGACCAGGATTAGTCGTCTGCGGCCCTGGCTAGCCTGGAGACAGTGTGGTACCCAACAAGGTTTAGGACACCTTTTCTAGGCCCTTCCCCTCGTGGGGGCTGGCAGTGCCATCCCTGAATAGGGCTGCCATGTGCCGTTGTGCCACGGCCGAACTCCACTATGGGACCACGACTTCGGGTTGTAGTGGAGAGCGACTCGAATTCGCCGTAAGCCGCGGTCTCCGACGGCGTAGATGGGCGCGTCAAGGCGATGTCGATGTGGAGATCCATCCCGTCACCAGCTGTCCAGCGGCGTGCAGAGACGAACCACGTCACGACGGTGCCGACGCAAGGTACCATCCGACCTTCCATCCAGCGGAATCCGCAAACCATGTGCACGCGGCACAGCGCACAGGGCCCCCTCACCTGGTTTACCCCGCCAGTCGAGACGGTTGCCCGAGGTGTGGCCGCTGAGCAGAGCCCAGCTACGTGGAGCCACAGGTGAGAGTTGGGTGCTAGCAAATGGACGCTAGGCGTAGTCTCACCTGCAAGCAAGTGAGTGACCACTACGACCATCACGTGAACCCACCGCTGACACTCCCTACACCCCGCACGTGGCCTATATTGATTTCCGGAAGGCGTTCGACAGTGTTCCGCACCAGCGTCTCCTGTACAAGTTGAGAATAATGGGTATCGGCGACAAACTTCTCAAATGGATCAAGAACTTCCCAAATTGTCTGCGTGGAAAGATAGCAATCGAGGCGCACATTCATAGAGAGTGGAGTCGCACAAGGCTCGATGCTCGAACCAACCCTATTTCTCTTATCAATGATTGTGTAGATTGGTTGTAATGTGATAGTGCCATGTTTGAGGATGATATAAAAATCTTGAAAGTTATCCAGAATGCCGCCGATGAGACCAACTTCCAAGACAATCTTTGTCGATATGACGAGTGGTCACGCAGATGGCTCTTGTCCTTCAATTTGAAGAAATGTACCATAGTGCGCCTGAAAATCAGACCCCTAGTGCGCGGCAATACCATCTGAACGGAAAACCACTTCGAGATGCGGAAGCGCAGAAAGATCTCGGAGTCTGGGTTGCAGACAGCCTAAAGTCTTCTACACAATGTTGTAAGGTGCCCAATGCCGCAACCTCAATGCTATATGCCATCAAGCGGGCATATGCAGTTTTCGATGAAGACTATTTGTCCAAAGCCTTTGACACGTTTGCAAGGCCGCATCTCGAATATGAAATTCAGGCCTGCAGACCGTGGACGCATCAGGATTACAATCTGCTTAAAAGGGTGTAGAGGCGAGCAACAAAATTAATAAGAGGTCAAAGTGCACTGCCATACGAAATCCGCTTAACTAACCTTAATCTCTATCCTCTGAGTTATAGGAAGTTGCGCGGAGAGTTGATACAACCTTTCCTTATCGTGCGTGGCTTGGACTGCGCCCGTCGGTGCAATGACTTTTTCGAAATCGCAACAACAAATAACCTCAGATGACATCGCTTTAAGCTACGTGTGCCCTAGGGTAGATTTAATGTGAGAAAATATTTTTTCTCCAACCGTGTTGTGGAACCGTGGAATAACCTGCCCGAAACGGTTGTCATGTCTCAATCTGTGGCGACGTTTAAATGTCGGCTTGACAGACATATGCTGCAACAACAAGCGGGCTATGTGACATACTAGCAATGAGACCAGTGACATATCTGTATCGATGTCTGCATTCATTTGATGCTGTACTTTCTTCACATTTTTGCTTATTTATCGGTTTTTATGTACAAATAGGAAGTTCAAAGGCCTAAGCCTATTTCCCTCAAATACACTGACTGACTGACTGAAATCTCACCCATTCGGATTGACTTCTTCGTCGTTTTGTGCACCTTTTCAATACGAAAAACTGTTGAAGATTTCAGTTCATTCTACTTCTCCTCAACTTGCAAAGCGACTCAACAAAGCATGTACGCTGATGACTGTCTGATCTCTTCATGTGACGCTGACTTCGTCAAACGTTTTTGTAGGAGTTTTGTAAACTCCTTTCTCAAGGGGGCTTTCGTATGCGGAACTGGGTGTCTTTCGACCGACATGTACTCTCAGTCGTTAATGCGAGTGAACGTTCGTCTGGTATGGAAGATATAACCGTCAACCCTCTATCTATTGGATGAACTTTGGGGCTGCAGTGGGACACGCATTTTGATATTCCGGTGATAAGTTTCAATATGTCCACAAAACCATTTACTCATAGGGTGGGCATTTTGTCCTGTTTTTTCTCACTTCCTGAATCTCTGGGCTTCGTTCCGCCTTGACCAACATCGGGGAAGTGTTCATTGCAGTCCATCTAAAAAAACAGACTGAATTGGGATCAACAGCAATTTGGCATCGAGGGCTCTCGCTGGGAAAACTGGATCTCGAATTTACGGAGCCTGAAAACGTTTCAGCTAGCCCCATGTCCTAAGTCCAAAGATATCAGTTATCCAAAGCGAGTCGAATTGCACGTGTTTTGCGATGCCTAGGAAGTAGCATACAGCGCATCAGCATATGCTCACTTCACTCACGACACAGGAAATCTACATTTTTCACTCTTTTATTCGAAAGCACGTGTTGCACCCATCAAAGCCGTCTCTATACCGCGTTTAGAGTTGGCAGCTGCTATTCTGGCTGCGCGCGTTGCTGAGCTCATTCGGTCAAGCACTGATAGGTACTTCTAAACAATAACTCTCTGGACCGATTCCATGATAACCCTTTATTATATACACAATGAATCAACCACGTTCTGCACATTTTTGGCCAATCGACTTACAATTATACATTATCTGTCTGCAAACTCTCAGTGGAGATACGCGAGTTCGGACGTCAACCCAGCAAACATTGCCTCTCGAGGTACGGGCAATTTGCTCTTGTACGTAGATGGTTGGGCGGTTCGCAATTTTTAGTTCAACCTGAGAGCAAATGGCTTGCACAACCTACAGCCGGACAACATTAAGACTTGGAATTCTAGAGGACAACAGTCCAAGTTAATTTATTAAGTCACTAAGATGTTTTAGACAAATTAGTTCAGCGTTTTTCAAGTTGGACAAGGCTACAAAGGGCTGTGGCCTGGCTCCTGTGTTTCAAACACTACATCAAATTCACTTCTACCAAGGCGCCCCAGCAGACGTTGATGATGGGTCCTAGCCGAATATCCGAAATGCGTCAAACTGGCATTAGCTTCATAGAGCTTATACAAAGGAAGCACTTTTCAGAAGAATTGGGTACTCTGCAGTCTACACCAGCAGATTACCAGAAACAAATCTGTGAGAAATGTTAGCATGAGAAAGTTATGTTTAGTTTTGACTGAAGTAGTAATTTGTCTTGGGGGTCGCCAGAACTACTCGAATTTTTTGCGAGTCGTTAAAACACCTATCAATCCCTCCAGAGAATCATCCCGTGACGAAATTAATCATACACTATTTTCATGAACTGGAGGGCTATTGTGGGACAGCCTAAGTTCTAGATGCAATCCGTAAAAAATCTTGGAGTAAGGAATGAACCACTTCTATCAAACGTGTCATCGGTAGATGTCTACTTTGCAGACGCAAATGTCGATAACGTCAGTAGCAGATGATGTCTCCGCTTCCTTTAAACAGAACAGAAGTTAGTTAGTATCCTTCTAAGTGCGTTGGGGTGGCTTATTTTGGTCCGGTGATGGCCAAACGTGGACGATATTCTGAAAAACACTATGGTTGTGTGTTCAGGTGCTTACAGAAAATAACCTACTGAGTGCGGCTCAGCATGGATTCCTCAAAGCTCGATCTTGTGACACCTGTCAACTCTCATTCTTTGACTATGTTCTCCAAACTAGGGACAATGGTTTTGCACTTTACACTGTATATTTCGATTTCACTAGGGCTTTTGATCGTGCTGACCATGCTCTTCTTCTCTTGAAACTGTCCCCTTTCGGAATAGGTGGCAAACATCTGAATTTTATATTCTCTTACCTGAACACTCTTACACAACGAGTTAAGATTTCCAATACTATCTCCAAACCCACGCGTGTGAGGAGTGGAGTCATTCAGGGTAGTGTACACGGCCCGCTTTTATTTTGCCTTTTCGTTAATGATGTACCCGGTTTATTCCAGAATGGAAAGCCTTCCATGTATGCCGATAATCTTAAAGTTGCATATCGATATAAGCCGGCAGATCATGACATCGTGCTCGAGCTCCTAAAGAGCGATCTACAGGCTTTCGCCCAGTGGTGCCGCACATGGCGCCTTTCTCTTTCCTGGCATAAGTGCTCAGTCATGGTGGTTGGCGACGACCGCCAACCTCAACGAAGCATTGAAGGTCACGCCCTAAATGTGCCTGGGGTTATTAAGGATCTGGGCGTATCATACTTCAAGTCTCAATCTCTCGGTGCACTGTGCCTTGATAGTCTCCAAAGCACGTAGAACGACCGGGTTTATCCTCCGAAACTTCAAAACTGGGAACATTAGAATGCGTCTTTACAATATGTACGTTAGACCTGGTCTGGAATACTGTTCGTTTTTATTTAGCATCAGGCGTGCTAATGAGCGGAAGAAAAAAGGATCCGTTCAACACTTTTTTACCAAGAGAGTTTTAACCCCGGAACACCAACACTTGTCTTACTAAGAGCGTTGCCGGCTTACGGGCCTTGATACTTTATGGGTCTGTTAATTACAAAGGGGACTATTTTTGCTATTTAAACTCCTATATAATCACACATTTAACTCACTCACTTCTTTAAGACATCATGTCCACCCACGACGTAACAGTCGCCGTGAGATCTTTTTGTTTCTTCCACTGGCACGTACTGTTAAATACCGTCGGTCCTTTTCTGTAAATGCAATTGCTATTTGAAATAAACTACCAATGAGTGTGAAAAATCTGCAAAATCATCCTTTATTTAAGAGAACTATTACTCGTTTTTTTCATTCAGTAAAGCTTCCTCAAATTTTGGGTTCTGAATCCACTGCTCGACTCTACCGTAGCGATGGCGTTTTTGGTCTCTGAACACTATGGCCTGTCTCACAATGGACAATTTCGTTGGCTAACAGCGACAGCTGTTCCTCAACGTCTCTACTTTGACTATCCCCAACTTCATGAAAGGAATTGACGTCCGTTAATCTCCGATACCGTGCAACCCCCTCCCCCCACCCTTCTTGACGGTCAAATGTAAACCGTCAGCAGTTTTTTCTCCTGAACCCTCAAAACCATAAAAACCACCATCAACTATATTTTTATTAATTTACCTCAGGAGTTTTTTTTCACTGCTGGTCGGATTTGTGTTTAACTCTTTCCTTGACAATGCCTGTAAACTGGTGTTAAATAAAATTATCAAATATTATCAAATATCAAACACCATCAAATCAAAATTTTACACATTCGTGTGGCCTAAACATCAGAGTAGCTAACACGAAAAGACTTCACTCTAGAAGCAAAAATAAACCCGTGTCAGTAACCTTCTACTCACATATCAAAGCTGAGATTGTCCTACAAAATCCCGAAGTAAACAGAAATCTGCGGAACCTAAACTCGTTTATAGGTCCAGATTTGACACCTATGCAAAGACGTAAACTTCGGGAAAAAGACACCAGCTTCAAATACGATCATCAGCACTCCGGTCCCTCAACTGAACCTCTAGCCACTACTTCTACTTCTAGCACTAATAAAAAGAAATACACAGGTTAGCGTAAACCAAATGATAAACCCACAGACCCGCAGAAGGACCTCCAGCAAGTACTTCCGACTCTAGTTCTCATGATAAAAAATGCGCATCAGCAAAAGCAGTTAGGATAGATGGTCAGAAACAAACGAGAGAGGCACGACAAAATAACAACGTTCAACTAGAACAGAACGATGATGCAGATCCTGGACCCAGTCATGTGACACCATTAGATAGCAGTATAAGTTTTACTACACCCCCCAAAACCGATCAATCAGTACTAGAAAACGACTGACAAACAAGTCACATAAAACAAATGGCC